CAATTGTAATGTTTCATGGAGATTTGCCATATTCTTCTAAAGACATAATTAAGAAATTAGAGACTTTGAATGATGAACACATAATTGGTGTTGGTGGCTTTGGAACAGTGTACAAGCTTGCAATGGATGACGGCAAAGTATTTGCATTAAAAAGAATTGTAAAGATGAATGAGGGGTTTGATCGTTTTTTCGAGAGGGAGCTAGAAATTCTTGGAAGTATAAAACACCGGTACCTAGTGAATTTGAGGGGCTATTGCAATTCTCCCACATCAAAGTTGCTAATCTATGATTTCTTATCTGGTGGAAGCCTTGATGAAGCACTTCACGGTTAGATGCTCTTCTCTTGTGTTTATTTTCATTGCTTTAACATGTTACATGTGCATCTGGTTTAGATGAATGATAAAGTTATTTTCTATACATGAAGTTAGAGGGGTAATGAGTGTAGGACCCGGAAAGAGAAGGTTACAGAGAGTAAATTAAAAAAGAAACCGTATAAGGAAACTTACTGTCTGCAAGAAATTCAATACTTAAAACTGTCCAACAAAAGGACAGTGGTGCCTTTGAGTTTATACGAATCCAAATAAAAATACTTGAATAAATTTAACCATAAATGTGTCAAATAACCTAAACTCACCATGCGATGTTGCACATAAGTGTTTAGATGCACATCATGATCTCCATCAGAGGAACATGTGGCATTGATCAGGCTCAGTATTTGGTATACATATGTACGTTTCTTGATAAAAGTTTTTAAAATATTTTACTACACATTATACGTATTTGTTACATGGAAATAAACCATTGGAACAATAATATTTCATAAACCATTGAACAGAAAGATCTGAGCAGCTTGATTGGGATGCACGATTGAATATTATTTTGGGAGCAGCAAAAGGCCTGGCTTACTTGCATCATGATTGCTCACCTAGGATCATACATCGAGACATAAAGTCCAGTAACATTTTACTTGATGGAAGTCTTGAGGCACGCGTATCAGACTTTGGACTTGCCAAACTGTTGGAGGACGAAGAATCTCACATTACAACAATTGTTGCGGGAACATTTGGTTATCTGGCTCCCGGTAAGAAAATGTTATTGTAGTTTCTGTTTTGTTATGCTGAGCTCTCAACTCTCTGAGCGTGGATATTATTCTATAAATTATGGGAATGATTCTGCACACCCCTGTTTAGTTCTTTCCATTGATTCCCCTTTGAAATAAGCAGGGGTGTGTAGGGGGACAAAAAAGGTGTGGAAATCACTTCCTATTATAATGACTAGATCCATGGTAGATGGAAATAAATTATTATGATTTTCACCTATAGCAGATTTTCACGCTCTTCCATAACAGTTTCTTTGCATAATTAAATTTGGAGTAGTAAGTGATACAGAAGTGTACTAAACTAAACAACCAAACGGAGCAGCATAGCAGGCTAAAATAGCCTGAACAGTGGCAGAATAACAAACAATACAATAGAACCCCCAAGTAAAAACTAAACATGATTGAATGCATTTGCATGCACTTACAACTGCTCCAGTTATAGGTGTCTGGTAATGTACATGCTTACAAATCAGCTTCCTGATGAAATGTGTTTTTGTTACACAAGGGGAGGAAAACTTTGTGTAGTCAATGTGCAGGCAGTTATTTCTGAAGTAGTACGATACAGTTTTTGTTATATTTATATACAACCTGAGTGATATGACCTCATTGGCAGAGTATATGCAAAGTGGCAGAGCAACTGAAAAGACTGATGTTTATAGTTTTGGGGTCCTGGTGCTTGAAGTATTAAGTGGAAAACGACCCACAGATGCATCATTTATTGAGAAGGGCCTCAACATTGTTGGCTGGGTATGTCTCTCTACGTGCGGTTTTTGTCAAAAATAATATTGCTTTTTGAAGTGTAAATCATGTTCTCTAAAGTTGACTGCAGAATGGCCATGTTTGTTTTAGCGTTTATAAAATTTAGTTGGGAATAGTGGAAGCATAGTGAATTGTGAACTGCATATCCATGTCAACTGTTGGAAATCAATTGCACGTGGTGAATATAATAGGTGAAAAAATGATAAAGAAAATATTTTGGTTTTGATTGATTGTTCCAGTCAAGTAAATATTATGTAAAGTTCCTTAATGATATCATTTTTGGAATGGGTATCGTTTCTTCAAGTTAGTTCTTCTAATTTATCTGCAATTCCCTCTGCAGTTAAATTTTCTGGTCACAGAAAATAGGCAAAGAGAAATTGTTGATCCACAGTGTGAGGGGGTGCAAGCTGAAAGCCTTGACGCCCTGCTCTCTGTCGCCATTCAATGCGTTTCTTCAACTTCAGAAGATCGACCCTCTATGCACAGGGTGGTCCAGCTGCTTGAATCTGAGGTCATGACACCATGCCCTAGTGACTTCTACGATTCCAGCTCTGAGTAAAAAGGCTTTGTGCAGATGGCAAGTCTGAATTTGAGTTTACATCGCTGTTGTATCAGATATGTAATGCAAACAGTGGAAGGGAATCAGAATCTGGAAAGGTACATTAGCCAATTCATTCGTTCATTCTTTCTTCAGGAAGACTACATTTAGAAGCTGGCATGCACATCTGTTGTCCACATTGCCTTTGTTCAGACATCGTATTCATCATCAACGAGATTCTGGATGCAATTTGCTCCTTGTGTTCTCATTTTGTGCAGTTGCGTTCAAACTCTTGTAATTCCTCTTGCCCGTTCACCAAAATTAAGTGTATATGATATTTATACAAACAGATCACTCTGCAAGTGATTCTTGTTGATGTCATTTTTGTAAAATATGATTACATGACAATAAACAGTAGGATGTGGGAGCACCTGCGCCCGCTGTTTTTCTTTCGTTTGTAATATTATGTTCCCCCTTTCATAATTTTATTTCTTAATCTGCCTTGATCTTGATTTAAATGTTTTGCCCTAATACGATTTGCAATGCCTATTCTGTTTGCGCTGGATTGCCAATCGACGGGTCAATTTCGTGTTTGCTGTAAATAAATATTCTAGGGATGGGGTTCCGACAAACATGGAATGCTTCCCACTGCCTATACCGCAGGAGAGATTTCTCATGCGTCCAATTATAGTTTGAGTAGCGTAACCGGCCAATCAATTCTTGTCACGTATCTATAGGAAACGTTGAAAAACTATTAACATGCAAAAATGTGCATCAAACGTTTATAAACCAAAATAATATATCGAATAGAGATGTATTTGAGTAAGAAGGGTGGGCTTAGCCTCACAATAGGCTAGCACTAATATGGTTTGGTTTAAATTCATCTCTGGCGAGAATCGAATCTAAGACCTTTGAAGAGGAATACCACTAGACCGTAGTATTAAGTGATAGACCTTATGAATTTAAACCTGTTTAATGACAGCCAAAAGGAAAAAAGAACACACAACTAAATGAAAAAGAAAAAAAAGAACAATGGAAAAAACCTTAATGTGTTGGCAGTCATATTTAGAATAGGAATGTGATTCTGTAAATCCTAATGTATATAGAGATATCTTTTATATTCCCTTTAGTAGTCTTTCCTATTAGAGTTGTAATCCTAAAAGGGTAAGAATTTTACCTATCCTACTACTATAAATAAAGGCACAATGAGGATGATACAACACACACCTCACAATTAAATCTCTCTAGTCTCTCTCTCACTACCGCCGGCCTCCCTCTCTCTATTTCCTTAGAATAGCTCAGTTAAATAGGCCTACAACACATTATTAGCACGCTCTTGCCAGAAGCTAAGAAACTAACGGATCGTAGGAGGCTATCTTCTACAAAATTCAAAGGCTCTTATTTGCTTTCTGCCAATTAGGTACGCTTAAAACAAAGGAAGATATTTGAAACATCCACGAAGCATGAAAGCATTCCCCATGATGCATGAACCCCTTTATGGTTTATATTTTCCTTCCATATATATATATTGTAAATGTTTCATGCATTACACAATTATATTGCTATGTGGAATTTGTGAGTCAAAGCATATAAATAAATTAGAAGCAATTAGGGTTTTTCAAACCTTAGGGATGTCGAAAAAAAAAATAATTGGGAACTGTGTGGCACATTTGCTACATCGAACCACCGCCGCTGGCCTGAAGCTCAGTTGCATGGAACATGTCATGGCACGATGTTATTTGACACCTTGGACCTCACGGCAGCAACCCTTTGGGCTTTGTTGTGCTGTCCCGGACCCTAGGCCTTGGGCCTAATTAGCTTTATACGGCCTGAAGTTTCTTAGCCTAACAAAAAAAACCTACAACCTTTTTGGCCTGTTGCCTCGAGTCCTTAGGCCTAACTCCAGCATCCCAAAGTTGATGGGCTTCCTTTTTTGCCCATGATTCAGCTCTCCCGCAACAACTCGTAGCTCATTGGGTTTCGCCACAATCTCGGCCTACTCGTTAGCAGCCTTATGTTGCTGGGCTTGATTTGCCTCGGACCCAAAAACCCTAAACCCAGCTTCGACTGGGCTTCCTCGGACAAACCTAATGGCCAGCTTTTGTTGGCCTCGCACCTGTTTTGACCCAATGCCAGCAGCTGTTACTGCCGAGCTCCCCAAACCAGCTCGGCCCGAGGCCTCCAACCCTCACCGAAGCTCAATTAGTCTGCAGCCGAACTTGCAGGGCTCTTCTCCCACATTATTTTTCTTCCACGATCAACCCCATTTGGTCCCGATCTATTGAATTAATTAAAAGTGACATGTAGTCCATTAATCTATACTTTGAACCGTTGACATCCTTTTGTAGTCCCGAAGCTCTCACACTTGAGTTTCTGAAGTAACTCAAATCCACTACACTTAAATCAACATATTGCATTCTGTGTTCTTCCAGGAACCTCTCCTTTATGAACTAATCATTCATAAAACTAAATTGAACATGTAGTTTCATATTTAGTGCCTTTGAAACCCGACACATGTCTATAGAACTCGAATGTTCTACGATATATGTCTATGGATTACCACATGACTAACCACGTTTTTGTTGTACCCTCCGTTTTAGGGACATGCCAAACTTGAACAAGCTTGATTTCACCACTTTGGAAGTATCTGGAAGAAATTACCTGAAATGGGTTCCAGATGTGAAGCTCCATCTTACTGCAAAGGGTATTAGAGCCACCATCGAGGCACTTATCGACGACAAACCTGTCGATGAAGCTCAAAAATCTACTTCAATAATCTTCATTCGAAGACACATCCATGATGCACTGCAGACCGAGTATCTCGCTGAGAAGGACGCATACACCCTTTGGCTTGCTCTGGCTGACCGTTTCGATCACCAGAAAGACATCTACTTGCCTGAACCAAGACACAACTGGCAGCATCTTCGCTTTCAAGACTTGAAGTCCGTGAATGAATACAACTCTGAAGTTTGTAGAATCTGATAATTACTGAAGTTCTGTAAAGTGGAACTCACCGAATCAGATCTCCTGGAGAAGACTTATTCGCCCTTCCATGCCACAAATATTATCCTGCAACAACAATATAGGGCACATAAGTTCACCAAATTTTCAGATTTGATCTCTGTTTTACTTCTTGCTGAAAAGCAGAACCAGCTTTTGATGACGACCAACTGGCTCGAACGCCGCGCCTGAAGTGCACACAACCAATTATAGCAGCCACAAACGACGCAAGAACCGTCGTGGCCGTGGCAATAGGCGGCAAGCCCCATAAAGGGCTCAAGGTTAACAGAATCAAGGCCCACCCAAGGGAGGAAATATGACCTAGCAGCACCAACCACTTGCCCCTAAGGCCCCAAACTTCAAGAACAAGGGAAAAGCTACTGTTCAACCGGTTTCCATTGAAATGGACATGTGCAACTGCTGTAGATCAAAGGATCATTGGTCACACGTATGCAGAGCTAACCCCGAGGCTATTGCCAAGTATCATTCTCGTTGTGAGTCTAACTTTGCACATGTGGATCATCCGGAAGATGCTACTACATTCATGGAGATATCAGATTTTCAAGAGGCATCAGCTCCTATGGATGAATGAATTTTAGACATATTTTAAGGTATTTTACCCCTAGTGGCCGAACCCACTATGAGTGGCCGAACCCCCCCTATTTTCTAGGTTTATGGTTTAATTTTGAACAATTTTTCTAAGTCTTTGGAATAATTTGTTTGGTTTTGGTTTGTTTTGAATTATGGATATTATTTCTTGAATTGCTTAATTGAATGAATGGAATTATATTTATGCATGTGACTAATTCAATCAATTTATTTCTAGGTATGTCTAGTGGGGAACTTAGTTGTCTGGCTGATAATGTTACCACGCATACCATATTGCGTGAGCAACATTATTTTACTAACTTTATACCTAAGAAAGCACATTTGACAACTCTCTCAAGCCTATCCAACCTGATTGAAGGATACAGAAAGGCCCGTATCATGTTGTCCAATGGTACAGTCTTAACCATTAAAGAGGCCCTCTATTCTCCACGTTCCGGAAGAACGTTGCTGAGTGTTAGAGATATTCGAGATAATCAATATCATATTAAAACCACTGAAGATAATGGTTCTAAATTTCTTTGTATCACTTCCATTTGTGGCATGAGTTGGAACGTCTCCCGAGTGGGTTGTACATCACAACCATTCGCAGCATAGAAGCCCACCATGTGGTTGGCCATGTGCCTGAGTTCTAAAGAACTTTGTTGCTTTAGCATGATCGTATGGGACATCCTAGATGTGACATGATGTGCCGTATCCTCAAAACATCACATTGGCATCATTTACCTCCCTATGTTAGATTTCCGCCATGCAAAGCGTGTTCTTTAAGGAAGTTGAATACTCAACCCTCGATTACAAAGATTATTCACAACCCCCTAAGTTTCTTCAAAGGATTCAAGGGGATATTTGTGGACCTATCTAACCAACATGCGGACCATTTAGATACTTTATGGTGTTGGTTGATGGATTGACACGATGGTCGCATGTTTTCCTATTGTCCACACGCAATGCTACATTTACGAAACTCCTAGTACAAATTATTAAGCTAAGAGTTCACCACCTTGATTATCCGATCAAGTCAGTTCGACTGGATAACGTTGGAGAGTTTACGTCACAGACTTTTGACGATTATTACATGTCAGTAGGGATTGATGTGGAACATCCTATATCCCATGTTCACACCCAAAATGGCCTAGCAGAAGCTTTCATAAAGCGCCTTCAATTGATAGTTCGGACTTTGGTTATGAGAACCAAATTGCCGGTATCTGCCTCGCGTTATGCAATATTACACGCAGCTATCTTGGTCCGCCTGAGGCCCATTGCTACCCAACCTCATTCACCGTTACAATTGGTTACTCGATATGAGCCTGACGTTTCGCATTTACTTGTGTTTGGGTGTGCAGTTTATGTGCCAATAGCGTCTCCACTACGTACCAAAATGGGTCCTTAGAGAAAAATGAGAATCTATGTCGGTTATGGTTTGCCATCAATTGTTCGCTATTTAGAACCCTTGATAGGAGATCTCTTTACCGCACGTTTTGCGGATTGTTCCTTTGATGAGATAGTCTTCCCGTCATTCAGGGGAGATAAGAATGCTAACGTTACTGGAGAACGTTGCGAATTGTTGTGGTATGCTATAATTATGTCTCATTTAGATCCCTGCATTGCCCAGTCTGAAACTGAGGTGCGACAAATTATAGATCTTCAAGCATTGCTCAAAGCACGCCTTATGCTTTTACTGATCTAGCTAAGGTGACAAGATCACATATACTCGCTGCAAACGCACCTGCAAGGATAGATGTACCATGTGTACGTCATAATCCTTCCTGGAAGGCCGGACCATCCCTGAATGTAGGGAGGTCGCACATTCCACGGGGTCCGGTACATTGGCTGCTAGCCAATCATCTGCTCCGACCCTGAAGTATGGCAAACCTCTTGGTTCAAAGGACTCACAACCCCGGAAGAGGAAATCGACACCAACTAGTGACCCTAGTTTAAATCCGACCATCGTTCACTCATCTGTTCCAACGCATGAGGTTCTTCTAGATTACGGTGATGTCTTGGTCGAGACAAACCAACATCCCGAGAATCGTGAGATTTCGGTCCACTACGCAGTATTAGATGAGGTTTGGAATCGGAATGAGATGATCGTCGATTATGCATTTGTGTACACAGTAGCTACTGACATTATGCTTAACGATGACATTGAACCACGTTCCATTGATGAATGTTGATGTAGAACGAATTGGTCAAACTGGAAACAAGCAATCTAGGTTGAACTTAATTCACTCGCGAAACGTAAAGTGTTTGAACCTATTGTTCCTACACCACCATATGTGAAGCCTGTTGGCTACAAGTGGGTTTTCGTGAGGAAGCGTAATGAGAAGAATGAAATACTGCAATACAAAGCACGCCTCGTAGTGCAAGGCTTCTCTCAGCGCCTTGGGATTGATTACGAGGATACGTATTCGCCCATAATGGATGTTATAATGTTTCGTTACCTAATCAGTTTGGTAGTTTATGAAAAAATGAATATGCAGCTTATAGACGTGGTAACCGCGTATCTCTATAGGGATCTAGATACAGAAATACACATGAAAGTTCTAGAAGGATTTCCATTAACTGGTTCAAATAGTTCTAGACTATGGAACGCTCTCTCGATTAGATTGAGGATATCACTCTACGGATTGAAACAATCCTGGCGGATGTGGTATAACCGTCTGAGTGAATATTTGACAAGTCAGGGTTATGTGAACAACGAATTATGTCTATGCGTGTTCATAAGAAGTCACATTCTGGATTTGCAATCTTTGCAGTTTATGTTGACGACATGAACCTCATCGGAACTCCCATAGAGCTTGAGGAAATTGCCACACACTTGAAATCGGAATTTGAGATGAAAGATCTTGGGAAAACTTAATATTGCCTCAGCCTAGAGATCGAGCATTGTTCGGATGGAATCCTAGTACATCAATTGAACTACACCCAAAAGGTGTTGTGACGTTTTAATGAGAATAAAGTGAAGCCTTCGAGTACACTTATGGTTGTTCGGACTCTAGATGCTAAACGAGATCCATTCTGTCCAAAGGAGGATGAAGAAGAGATTTTGGAAGAAGTTTCATACCTAAGTGCAATTGGGGCTTTATTGTACTTATCTCAATGCACTAGACCCGACATCTCCTTCGCTGTTGTTGACCCTAAAAACTACCAAGCCTACGTGGCGCTAGGGGTGGGTTCAAAAAACCGAAAACCGAAAAAAACTGAAAACCGAACAGAACCGAAACTGAAAAAATCGAACCGAACGAAAAAACCGAACCGAACCGAATTCTTTTGGTTCGATTCGGTTTTAGTGATCTAGAAACCAAACCAAACCGAACTGAACCGAATTAATTAAATTTATTTTTTTATTTAATTATTTGTTTTGGGTATTATTTTCTAAACCCAATTTGTAAGTTAAAATGTGCTAAACCCAATGTGTTGACAAACTTTAAGCTCAAAATATTAAAAAAAGGCCTATTAAAACTCTAAACCCTAACCTATTATTTTTCCCCCATATAAGGTTTCGGAACCAAACCTCCTCCTGAAGTACGTACATCCATCTCCATAGCATTGTCTACTTCTGCCCCAGCTTTCTTTTCCAAATCTACTCTCATATAACATGTAACATAATCCATAAACATTTATTTCGGGTAGATTACTTGGGTAATTTGTGATGAAAAAGAATCCAACACACACTAAATAAATCCACCCACGCATAACTTTTACTAATCAAGTTGTCAACATGCAGTTACAAGCAAACAACCCTGGTCTTTGAACAACATCATACAATTTAACTTTTCTAAGTCATTTGTACGATTTTTGTGTTGTGAGGTTGTTAGTTTGGACTTTGGAAGACTTGATTGATGATTTTAGTTCAACTTTAAATGTTTATTTTCATTGTCTTTGATTCTAGTTAGAATGCTTATGTTATGATTGTGTTGGATATGTTAAAATTTAAAATTTCAATGTTTTTCATTTTTTTTGAAAAAAAAAAAAAAAAAAAACCGAAACCGAACCGGAAAAACCCGAACAAAAAAAAACCGAATAAAAAAAAACCAAAAAAAAATGAACCGAACCGAAATTTCGGTTTGGTTTCGATTTTGGCAAAAAATCGAACCGATTTGAACCGAACCCACCCCTACGTGGCGCGCAGGCTGAATAATTAATAAGTTAACTATGTTCTTCGGTTGTGTGCGGGGCATGCCAACTCAACGGCCGAGCTCGACCGGGGAGTAAATTTGTTGATGTTGCGTTGGGCGCGCTGCTGACTTCTAAATCTCGCGACTGCGGCCGAGGAAGGAACACGTCTCGACCTTTGGGTTCTAGAGCTTAAAGACAAGGCTGTAAACACGAATATTCCTTAAACGAAAGAGACAAGAACATGTGTACAAAGTAAT